TGCTCATACATGTTTTATCTTTCTTGAAAAGGCAAGCATCTGAGAAATTTAAGTATCAAACAGGAATATAAGCAATGAAAGAGGAAGTGTAATTGGATGTACCACTAATATTTTTCATACTTGGCATAATCTTATTCAGCTGGAAATTATTGAGTTTATAATATTAGAATGATCTGTTATTAAGCATCAGGCTACTGATATGGTAGGTGGCATTATATAACATAACCCAGCAAAACAAACACAAAGCAAAGTAGAAAAGTACGATTCTGATTCTCCATAGCAAAGAAAACAGGGCATAAAAATCTCCAGTCAAGGAAAAAGAAATAGAACTACTAATATTCATGATAAAAGATAAACAACAGAAGACTGAGAAAGAAAAAGAGAAAAAAAACATCACTCAAAAAGAAATAACAAATTCCTCTAAGCTTTTACATGACCATCACCCAAGATCCCTTCTGTAGTGGAGACATCAAGAGAGAGGAACAATATTTAAATACCAATATGCAGTAAAGTATAACTGAAGGGCACTAATCATTTGGAAGTCTGAAATTAAAAGAAAAAAAAACTGTTCATCACTATGTAGTCAGCTTGAAGCCTTTCAATGGCCAAGATTAGCTGCTATTCAATCCAGGATGCCATGGTTCGGTTCATACTTATTAGAGCACAATGGAACCTGGTTTTGGTTTCAAGACTTTATTTAACCACTTTCTCTTGGTAAAAAAATTATTCGGTCCGGAAAGTCATCGACAATTTGGAAGACAATCCAATTTCCTATGAACATATAACTATTTCTCAGCTTAATTGTTGCAAGTTGCAACACTGAACACAGAATTCACCAGCAATGCATTAGCTCTGATATAAGTTTTTCACACCCAAAGAAACCAACTCTATCATTTGATTTTCACTTTTCTTTCATTGGATGATGTTAACCGAAAGTTACTTTCATCATCAATGACATGGGTTCTTTTTTGGTGCAGGTCCAGTTGACAATCATCTCCCATTCGTGTGCGTACTTGTGATATGATATTCTATTTAATTATTGTGGGAAATTTTTTTTTTTTAAAGGACTTGGAATTTTCGATGTAGCCAACAAAAGCCCTTTTCCTGGACTGATAAAAGGACGAGTAATGGGGACAACTTGAATCACTTGATTCTATTCTCAGCGTCCAAAAAGAAAGGTCTTTTTGGGGTTAATTTTCTAATAAGGCCGCGGACCAATCATCTCATATTAACTGCAAAGCCTGAAATTATATGAAATTGAAGTAGCTTTTAAGAATCATTTTTCCAATATTGAGTTGGTCAAAAATAAGCTTCGAATCTTCTTGTTTTAGTGCTTCTTTTGTTTTTCTTTTTTCCCCATTATACTAATGTTAGTTGTCTCTCTGATCTTTCACTCATTTTTTTAATCCTACAAGGAAATGCTTGATCCGAAACCCAAATCCTGCAACCTGAATGCATGTTCATATAGGGAGGCAGAATTTTGGGACAAAGGCAAATGTTTGATCAGATTCAGTCTCTCTCTCTCTCTCTCTCTCTTTATTGCCATCTATGATCACACCTCTCTGGATTCTTCTGGCTGTCAAGTTTTTAAACAACTATGATAATGGTTAACTCAATATGCTCATATTATTCTTCTTTGAACCGGCTTTTCTATTTCCAGATTGGATGTTCCACCAATATTGGCTGTCAAGTCTATCTAAAGATGAAATTAAAAGTTTCTATCAAGTTTTTAACATCAGATCATGTTAATTTCTTTCCATAGAGGCGGTCAAATATATGCCTTTGATTAACTGAACTTGGAAATATTCAGCAGTACGGTCATAGACTCTCAACATTAAAGGAAAGCATTATATTCTTTTTCCATTGCCAAATTGAATACAAAATTATTGACTCCTGATCACCTCTATCAGGAACTTTATATATAGTAGGAAAGATAATGTTGTGACAGACATGATATATATATATATATATATATTCTTTTATGTGCTAAATCTTCATATTATGTGCACTAAATCTTCCAGTGAGCATGGATAAATATTGTCTCCTGAAGAATACAGATTAGTTTGATAATCAGCTTGACATCTGGGAGTTTCACACTTTCACTTTACATCTGCTTTGCTTGAGCTTTATTTTTTATTGGTTTTTGGTTCTGTTGATTTCATCTTTATGATATATATATATATATACATACATAAATACACACAAATTAGCACTATGGAAGAACCTTTATTGCAGTGTCAAGAAAAGAAGAAGCCTTTGATGACTTCAAAGAAGAAGATCAGTTTAATTTCTAGCTTCTGAAACAAGAAACTGTAGGCTGGCAACAGGTCTAATCTCTTTGGATTGCCTTTTTATATTTATAATTAAATGGGAGGAATAAATTGCCAGAATTAATAATTTGCTTAAGGGTTTTTGAAGCTGTAGCTACATAATTTGGACTCCAATAAGATTAATTTTCAAAATTCCATCAGTCATTGAAGAGAACTGAGTGCTATATTTTCATTTAGAGTTCAAAGTTTAAACTCTTTTTCCCATTTAGGAACAGAATTTAGTAAAATATAGTATATGAATTAGAATTTATAATAATCAAAGGCTTTCCATGGACTGAATCGTGGGATCCACTCTCTCCATTGGAGATGTTTGTGCTAAGCCATCATTATAGCCCTGGATTTGACAACACTAAAAGGGGTTAAAACATATAATACATAAATTAATCCTCTAGCCTGGGAAACTGCTTTGACTGTTATTTGATTGGCAGATGCATTAGGTTTTGTTCTCTACTCTGGAAAACTATACGTCTTTCCTTTTCAAGACCCTTTTTAGGGGTTGCTCCTTATTTCTGCACAATTCCTTAATTTCCAGTTCAAGTATATATGTGATGCCAGAGTAATTAATCAAGAAAAAAGAATGGTCCAGCCTAGAAAACCCATGTCAATAGACAAAACAAAGTAAAATTTGATATATCAATCCATATATGAATGAATCTGTGTTTAGAAGAAGAAAAAACATATATTCCATGAACCATGATATTTTTGTGGTTGGCTCCAAGCTATCTAGCTATTTTCTCTCAACTCCATCAATTACTTCACAACAAAAGAAATTATGGGCATTTTTTGTTGGTAAATAATCCTCCCTCATTTGATTTTATTTTTCTCATGGTATTGAGAACTAGTCAATACCTAATTTGTGATGTACATCTTTTGAAGGGCATAAAAATGCACAGCAAGGAAGATGCCATTTTTCTTTAAAAGCATTTAGACCAAAATGTAGAATAACCCTTCTAAAAATCTACTGAGAGTTGAGAAAATATTCCCATGGAGATTTCCCTTTTTGGTAACCAATCACTGGTAATTCTTTTTTATGGGAAAGAAAGAAAAGTTTGCACAACAGTTTGTGTTGATTTTGATAGAAATTCGTAAGATTAAATTAAGATTTCATCAAGTGGTTACAAGCTCCACAATAGTTTTAAAATAATTAACAAACAAAAAGCACAATTCAATAGCAGAAACCTATGGAATTTGAGACTTCACACCAATTCATCTTCAGTTTTTTTTTTTTCCTGATATAATCATACCATTTCAGCTGTGTTCCAAGGAAAATTTACTGTAATTGACCTTCATAGCTAGAAAATTTCTGTTTTCGTTTCCAGCAAACTTGTAATATTGCTGTTTCTTTTTCTTTTAAAGGTTGTAATTTACTCTTTCATGTTTAAATCTTTGGTTCTAACACCATTGAAACATGAAAATTGTTTATTAACACAGATTTTCAACCACCAACATAAGTAGGCAACTGGTAATTATGAATTTGCTCTCTTTTCTTGCGAAGTTCTTCCATCTTTGGTCCTTTGCTTAAATTTTTTAATTAATAAATGCAATTTAACAAGTAAAGTTGCTTGACATGATCATTAAATATATTATTTAAACTTTTCAAAGTGTTAATTGATTACTGGCACTTCACATAAAGAATGAAATTAAAGTCTCACCTGCGGCCATATATTATATATTATATTTTATATTTTATATATACAGACACAGCAAGTAAAACAATTCCCTTATTTCCAATATATTCTCTAGTTGGCATCTCAAGTTAACAATGACAATAATTTAAATGATGAGTTGGGAAGAAATTAGATTTTTTTTTTTTTCATTTTGCTATCATCAATCTAACAAGCTTTTCTCCTCTCAGGTTTTGATCCAAAAACCTAATGGTAGTAATAAACTTGTAGTAGATGAAAATTACAAAACCAGAAGAGAGTTTGCCACAGCAAAAAGTCAAGTTTATTAATGAATGGAGGAGATCTATGAATATATTTCAAAGAATGACCAGAGTTGGCCCATTGGTGAATTCGTCAAAATATTTCTTTTTTTTTTTTTTTTATAAAGGAGGCCGCAATATAGACATTAGAGAAAAAGATTGCCGGTACTATAATTTAAATTTCAGCCTACTAAATATCATAAGATCAACTGAATTAAGTCATGGGTTGAAAATGCTTTCATATTATGTAAAAGATTCCAAGCTCAACATGATTGCAGCAGCCAGCAGGCATGGTACTGCTGTGTGTTTTATTACTACCTTGAATCAGTTTTCTGTTTGTTATTATTATTATTGGTGAGACCAAAATAATGGCATAAAGTTCATTGTTTAATCTTAAAGTATGTGCATTTCCTAAATAAAAGCATAACTGCATTAAAATAAATGTTGTGATAAAGCCATGATCATGAATGGAACTTACCATAAGGTCAAAGATTCGTGGTCAAGGTAATTAAGAGTCGTAATTTTTATAATTGATCACCTTATTATGTACAAGGATTGGTGATATATTTTTTTTAAAAAGGAAACTTCTTACAATTTGATGAAAGAAACTTCAAAAATTTGAGCTGTTTATTCTAACTCTTTAGAATTACAGTTATTTCTTGCTCTAAAAGGCATATATAGCTATTTTACTATGATACTAAAGGCTAAACTGAGAAATGCTCATCATTAGAAGCCTTCCCCAAGTATCAGAAGCAGCCATGGTGGTATTGAAACTGATGTTGGCTGAAAGTATTGTTCATAAAATTTCCTCTTGCCATTGTTTCATTCTCCACCTCATGCAACGCCTGCAAAAAGAACGTGTTAAAATGAGAAATGTTTTCTATATGCAATTCTATCAAAATATAATATAATCCAAATAACATGTTAAATCAGTTATAATTTGATTAATGATATCGACTCTGAAGCGATTATTATACTACATTGAACTGATAAAGTACCCATAAATCATCTTCGTCTTCATCTCTGGTTGAACATGCAACTTTGGGAATCTCAACGTTTTCATCGTTGCGCGCGAATCTGCCACGAATACGAGGACGGTTGTCTGCTAGTGTTTTACGGCATGCATACTTTGCATCAACAAGCATAAAAAACCAAACCATATTTACAAGTTAGAACACAATCAAACAAATGTAGTAAATGAGATGTACCAAAAAAGAAACAAATGTACAATTACTAAAATGGAAATTTGATTAAGCAAAAGACAAATTTAAGAAACCTTAATTGTTTTGCTGAAATTCCTTTGATTGCGCTTGGCTCTATACCTCGAAATCCTCTCCTGTCTTTCTTCTGGGTTGTAACGTCCTACTTTAAAGGGTGTTTCCTCCATGAACGAGTTTTCTATAGCCGAAGGGGTTGGAATTGACCTTTGGTTTGTATGAACGTTTCTCATATTCTAAAAGCCAAGGAACAAAACAACATTCCATTACATATAAAATTCCAAAAAAAAAAAATAATAATAATAAAGAGTAAAAAACAGGGTAGTTGAGGTAATAAAGAGATGAAACAAACCTCTAAATCTCCAGTGCTGCATACCTTCCTCATTTGTCCGGCAAAAATGTTGTTCTCAGGCATGTTAAAGGCTTGGCCTTGAAATTTCTGTGATTCCATGAGAGAATCAAAAGGAGGTTGGAATGAAAAGTTAGGCTTTCCTTCAAAGGAATTGCTGCTAAAGCTCCTTTGCAAGTACTTAGCTGCATTCTCAACATCACTATAAGCAGAGTCAAAATCCACTTGACATTCTTCATTTTTAACTTCCAAACAATTCAAGCTGTTGAAATTTTCATACCCATTTTCTAAATTTGGACCAAATGACAGAGACGAAAACTGGGTAGTTTGATAAAGGCTGAGATTTTCAAGCTGGTCTGTTGGAGGAGAAAAAGGAAGCAAACCAGAGGAAACCAATTGGTCTGGACAAGTGGGTTGATCAACTGGGTTTTGTTGGTTTTGATTGCTGTTCAACAAAGCTTGAAGATTATAATCGGAAGATAAATCGTTGAGAGGAGAGAAAGGATGATCAAACCATATCTGATAATCAGTATCAGAAGAAACCATTTCAGCATAACGGTTGTACGAAGAGTCATCAGAAACAGAAAGATTATAAGACATTTGAAACCAAACTGACCAACTCTTGATTGAAATTGAACTCAAAAGGAAATAAACAATTCTAACACCCAAAAAAAAAAAAAACAAAGAGAAAATTTGGGTTGATTTTTCTATTCGGCCTTGAAACGGCCAGAAAGCACAAAGTGACACGCTCGGGCCCTGAGTTGGTTTATTAAAGGATTTGACATTACATGGAAGAACAAGACAAAGGGTCTCGCCCCCAACATTATATAGACGAGTTTCTCCTTTGCTTGTGCTCAGGTAGACTTAGTATGCGTTTGAATTCAATCAAATCTTTGATGGGGCGCTATTATATTTATTGTACTTTTAATTAAATTTAAATATTGATTTTAATAAAATTTATTTAGTATAAATTTTTTAATAAAATTTTATTTTTTAATCAGAATTATAGTATTTTTTTTTCAATAACTGTTATAGTAATTTTTTTTTTTTTTAATTTTATCTCAGTTAATTTCACCATCTATGAGCCTAAGACACATCATTTGAGCTTTAGTTTGCAACCATGCCCCTAAAGTAATGGGATTTAACATTTGTTGCGGTAATCATTTTGGCCAAAACACTTTGATCCTAAATTTGTGGCACCATCCGAAGCTTTTTGTAATTTTTAAAAGAATAAAATACCTTATAATTTTAATGATAGAATAACATAATATAAAAATAATATGATTTAAAATTAATAAAATTATATATGAATTTAATAAAATTATATTATTAATCTTTGTATTTTTTATCAAAATGTGAATTTAATTTCTTTACAAATATTTTAATATTGACAGTGTCTCTATTTTAGAAATTTAAATTTTCAATCCAATTATTAACCGTATTTTTTTTCCCTTAAATCTGTTGACGTGACTATTAACTTATTGGTGTAGCGTTAAACTTGCTTGCGTGACCGAACTTGATCATTAGATTGTTTTGACAACTGATGGTGGGAATTTCTTTTTATCCACGTGGCAAAAGGGTGCGTGATTTACCAATAAAAAAAAAAAAGAAAACTAAAGACCATGGCATTTTCCTTTCATACTTTCATTCCTTGGAACCCTATGCGATCGAAAAGTGAAAAAAAAAATTTTTCATTTGAAAAAATATTTGCTCAAATATCAAAAGAACCAGTTTTTTTCCCTTTGATTCCTTTTTTTTTTTTTTTAAATCAAATCCTTATTTGTTGAAAACTCATCACGCCATATTTTTCATCTAAGCCAAACCCTTATTTTTTACTTCTTTAATCCCCAATTCCACTTGTCTAGTCTCCTTTCTTTATCAATTACAAAGAATTTTTTGTTCCTTTTGTTTTGGATAGCACTCCATTCAAATACAATAGAAAATTTGACGACAGAAGAAGCCGAATTGCATTAAAACTGTTGCCAAAAGCAACTAAAACAACATGAAAACCTTAATTAAAGAGAAAGAAAATACCCAGTGGTAATTTCGTCAGCAGAAGAATCAAAATCAATAGGGCGCACGGAGGAAGGAAAGTTGGGTTCAATGAACATGGTCGTAATTTCGTGTTTAAATTGGGTTGGCGTAAATAAATCTAGAGCTTAAGGAACAAGGCTTGGAAAGGAGGCGACAACTTTAAATTCTGGATTTTGGTGGCGAATTGTTAAAATTTTTCAATAAATGAATTATTATTAATTGGTAGTTTTAATATTTAATAAAATATATTGATAAATTTAATCTTAATAAAAAATAAATATAAAAATTTAAATAATTAATTGTGATAATTTACGTATAAATTTTATATATTTTATTAAATTAGTATAATTTAATAATTGTGTAAATAATTGATGTTGCTTTTGTTTAATATTTATAATTATCCAAACAAATATATAATATGATGAAATTTGATATTTTAATATTCATATACAATTCTTGAATTTTAAAATTATGCTTACACGAATAGGTAAAAATGAGCGGATATTTATTTTTTTTATCTTAGTTCTCTTACTGGTTTATCCGAAGCTAGTTTTTTTTTTTTTTTTGGGTTTCTTATCCTTGTTTTTCTTATTGATTTTTCTGATTTTTTTTTTTTTGGAGTAAAGAGAGAGATGATGTTGATTTAATAAAAAAAAATTTATTTGTTAATCATTTTTATTCAAAAGAAAATTTTGTGAAGATGAAGAAATATGAGCTTCCAATGTTACTCAAGATGAAGTTAGATTGGTAAATCTATAGGTTTACTTCTGGGTTTTATGAAGGTGAAGAAAATTTTGTGATGATGTTTATTTCTGGGTTTCTTGTCCTTCATTACCAACCAAAAACCTTTTTGGTAAATCTCTGTGTTTGGATTTTTTTGACTGCTTAAAAATGATAGAAAAATGTGATATACATTTAAATCATTTCTCACATTCTGAAAGCGAAATTGTTGATTACTTAATTTGATTCTAAAACTGTTGGGAAAGCTATTGAGGGTTGCGTTGGTTATTATGAGCTATGCAACCAATGAGTTCTTGGCCTATGTGGAAAAAAAATTCCATGTAATTAGTTTTTCTTACAATTTGATGATGAAGCTTGACCACGTAAGCAAGGTCAACATCATATCAGAAAGTCAAGATCCACGTCAACAGATTTAATTGAGAAAAATAAACATGGATACAATTAGTTCAAAATTTTAAATCTAAAAAAATAAAGGTACTATCAATATTAAAATAATTGTAGAAAGATTAAATTTGTATTTTAATCAAAATATAAGAATCAATAGCATAATTTGATTTGATAAAAATTTAAAAACATATTTTATATTTGATATATTAATATAAATTTTAATATAGCAATTTTTTATTTTACACATTTATAAATTATTAAATAAATAAATATGAATCGAAGTTAATCTTCATAAAATTTTTAAAATGTAGGATTGATTTGATTAATTGAGAGTATCAACTTATTCAATTTGACTAATTAGGTAAAATTGCTAAGAGAAACTTAAATATGGGCGTTAATCTAATTAATGATTGCTACTAGCATACAATGAAGCTAAACGTAAAGTGAACCAAGTCGCATCGTCGTCTTGGTGCCATGAGGCTAAATTTGGTTCCGACCATCGCCAGCTTGACATGAGGAGGTTAGATTTGGACTGCAACAAGCACCAGGAAAGAGTAATAAGTAACAAAATCCGACTGATTTTATCTAAAGGGTCGGACAGTAATAACTAATAACGAAAAGAAGTGAAAGAAGGGGATTCAATTTTTCATTTCAAAGTTCGTTTGTGAAGAAAAGGACTTCGGCCATTTAAATAGTTTGGATCCTTTTTCGAGGGAGTAAAACTTACAAACGATGTTCAAATTAAATCCTCGTATCATCACATCATGTCTCTTTCACGTTGTCTTCAGTTCCTCGGCGTGCGGACAAGGTCGTGGCCCGTGGGTTGGACTGCAACAATGCTTAAATTGCATGCATGGGTTCCTTAGCCCATTTAAATTTGTGTTTGGTGGAGACCCCATCTTATTTATTTTTAATTTTTTATTCTAATAATAGTTATTATTAGTTAAAATAATTGTGAATTACTTCACTAATTACTCCTTTTAGATGTTTTTAAACTATTTTTCTATTCATGAATATTTATATTCTTATTTTTTTTATTTTTTAAAATATGCATGATGTTTTTAATATTAAAAAAATTGAAAATCAATATTATTATTTATAAGTCTTTGTAAATCTGAATCCAGTATTAAAAATGGATATTCAAATTTAAGTCCGGTCTAATTTGATTTCAAATATTGAATTATTAATAAAAATATTATTAAAATTTAATTTTAATTTAAAAATATTATATTTTAATATTTTAATATTCTTTTAAAAAATTTGAACCTTTTAAATCCTACAAAAATCGGGCTTAGCCCGAATCGGCCCGCAAAGACCTTTATTTCTATTAAGATAAATCAAATACTCTATTTTTTTTTCTTTATTATTGGAAAAATACACACTGATACTTTTTGGAAGTATGAAAATAGTAAATAAATTAAAATTACATACAAAATTACCATAATTATCTGATTCACGCGGCGGGAGTTAATGTTGTCATCGAAGTCAAAATCAACGCAATTTGCGTTACTTTTTCCATTCCTTGGCCTTCTCCGTCTACCTCTCCCTTCTAGATTGGAGTTTGTTTTCCATTTGTTTTTTTTTCTGGTTTTAATAGTAAAAGCCTTTCCTCTAGATGACTTGCGTTTTTTTAAAAGCCTAAAAACACAGCAATCCCATAGGCCCATTCGACTTCCCAATTCCGTCAACTTTTTTCACTCCTTCCATCTCTCCTTTCTCTGTTTCTCTCTGTGAAAAAAAGGTTTTTTGTTCGAGATCTTTTGAGGCATGCCGTCGCAAGAATACATGGACAAGATGCAGGTCCGCCAGAGCTATCGAAATCTCTGGCACACCGATCTCATGGGCACCATTCAACGCGACCCTCCTTGTAATCTTCTCTTCCCCTGTTTTCATTTTTCTGGCTTTCTCTCTCCTTTTTTTTTTGTTTTAGTTTGATTGATCGTTTCTTTACTTTCCTGTTTGGTTTTTTTTTTTTTTCAGATTGCTGCTTTGCTTTTTGGTGGTAAGTAATTCTGGATCTGTTCTTTTTTTACTAAATTTTTTCGTGTGTTGTAGATCTGCTCGTAACTTTGTCTCGTGAATTGTGTGTTTTTTAGTTTTTTTTTTTTTAATTAGCTGCAATTAGGGTTCTTATTAATGATGATTTAGGGTTTGAAGATCGAGACGCCGGTGACTGGAGTGACCCTAGCGTTCACTCTATCTGATTTCATGTTTCTGTTCTAAATTGGATGACAAAATGTCTTTCCAAGAATGCCTAATTTTTTATTCTAGTATTTTGACTTTTCTTATGTATAATTGAATATATAATTTCACCTTGCAAACTACTAACTTATTGCCTTTTTCCTCTTTTAGCTCTTTACTAGGAAATGATGTGCTGTGTTTGTGCATAAGCTGATGAATTTTCTACTTCCCTCACTTTTCTTGTTGTTTTCTTAGTTTAAAACCATCTAATCGTAGATTCGTTCACCCATACATTGTTTATTTTTCTTTTTCTTGTTATAGTGGGCCATGTGCATCCTACATGCTCCGAAAACGAGCGCTTTATAACGACATGTCAAGGTAATTGATGCATTTGATTCCTCTTTGAGCACAAGTCAATGATGTAACATCTTGGTTTAAACATAGCCTCTTGTTTTTGGCAGGTATACATGTTGTGCTGGTTATATGCCATGTAGTGGTAAGTGTGGAGAAAGTAAATGCCCGGAGTTCTGCCTTTGCACTGAGGTAGGAAGTTTGTCTATATGCTTCGTATTATTTTTTGTACTTGTGCCTTAGTTTATAAGTATTCTGCTTGCTTTTTAACTCCAGAATGTCTATGGGGTGAGATACTGGGTTGCGTTACCAAGAACTATAGGAATATTAGAGATGTACAGATTTTGCTGTATATACAAGTTATTTTCCTATCAGGAGTAATGGGAATTTTGGTCTTTAAAAATAACCGTATTCAATTCCAAAGAAGTGATGAAAAATCTAGCTGTGACAAAAATCTTTATATGATGTCTTGAGGCCAAAAGCATGGTTTGCAGTGAGGAGAAGGAAGAAGGGGCATGGTTTTCTTTGGAAAGTGTAGTATTTAAATTGTCTAAAGAACCTATTTCATGCTGATTTCTCCTTATTGTGGTAAAATGCATGTAACTTATTGTGTGGTTGGTTCTTTTTCTGAATATTTTTGTAGCTTGGTGCGGCAGTTGTGGTGAGCTTCCATTTCTATTTTGTCATTAATTTCTTTATCATGCGTTTTCCAGGTTTTCCTCTGCTTTGGAAACTCAGTGGCCTCTACCCGATTTCTGTTGCAAGATGAATTCAACATTCAAACAACAAAATGTGACAATTGCATCATTGTAATTTATCTCTTTCTACATCTATGTATCTTTAATTATATCTGCACTTCTTGGCCTTTGATAAACTTATCGCCACTTGATATACAGGGTTTCATGTTCTGCCTACAACAACTTGCCTGCATATTTTCCATAGTTGCAATGATTGTTGGAAGTGATGAGATTCAAGAGGCGTCACAGTTACTGAATTGTTTGGCTGATATGGTTTATTGCACGTAAATGATTCTGTTCACTATCTATCTCTTATCTAATTTTTGCATAAGATACTATACTGACAGTTCTATTTTATTTTACCTTTTGCAGGGTCTGTGCATGCATGCAGGTATGAACTTCTTCTAATACGTATAAATGGGAAATTTTGTTATCCTTATTTTGAACCATCCCTTACATTTTCTGTGGTTACAGACGCAACATAAGGTTGAAATGGACAAACGGGATGGCATGTTTGGTCCACAACCAATGGCCGTACCCCCTGTTCAGCAGATGTCTCGCATTGATCAACCAATTCCTCCTGCAGCTGGCTATCCACCAGCAGCATATGGACAGCCTTATCCACCTCAGGCACCTGTCTATCCAGCGCAAGGTTATCCGCCAGCCGCATATCCTCCTGCTCAGTATCCTCCAGCTGCTTACCCACCACCGGGGTACCCACCATCTGGTTATTCTAAGTGATCTTTCTCTGAGTTGCTTGTTGGTTGCTAGCACCAGAGTCTGGGTTACTGAGACATCGATAGAGCTTGGTATTTATTATAAAATATGACTTGCATGCTGTTGCGGTATATTTTGTGTGATTTGCTTTTAGCATTGCTGATTTAAACAGTTAAAAGGTTTAAAATTGGATACTATTATCTTGTCTGCCCTCAATAATTGTCTTTTACTTAATTAACTTTGGAGTTTATGTAAATTTGTAAATTTTATCTTCTAAAGGTACATAAACCATTATTGTCAAAGCTTCTGATGATCTGATTTCCGGGTATTTTCTCTTTTGAAAAAATGAACAGTCATGTTCACATCTATTAGATTAAATTGGCCCATATCTGCTTATCCAGTAAATGTTGTTGATTGAGTGCGGATTTCACAACACCTCCGGTGCAGTGAGATTGAATTCATCACATTATTAATTAAATTTAAATGTTAAGTTTAGTAAAATTTATTCATCATAAATTTTTTGTTGAAAAATTTTTTTAATCGTAATTATAATAAATTTTTTTCAATTGTAATTATAATTAATTTTATTATTATTTTTAATTTCATTATAATCAATTTCATTTCAATGCAAATGGAGTTTGAATCAATTGCTTTTGAAAAAAAAAAAGAAAAAAAAAAAGAGATTTTCCCCAGTACTTCGTGAGTGTGAAAATAAATACGTAACTAGATATCAATAGCTGAGGAGATGGAGTTTATTCCCCGGCTAACTCTACTATTTGGTTTCATTCTATGTTTGATTTACGCAAGCTTATGGCATCGAGTTAACAGAGCTTGAAGAAAGTGGCAAGGAAGAAAAGAATGTAGGAGGACCATGTGGCAGTAAATTAAAGCTATACACACGTAATATTACATCAATCTGAAAAAAAGGAGTTTTTGTAAAAAGGAACAGAACAATGATGATTTGTGATCAAATTTAAACACACAGAATATGGGGATTCCATTGGGACTTTTTCAAAAAATTCAGCAACCTAAATTCAACCTACCTAGCCATACACCGACCGCCCTTTCACAGGTGATGATGGGCTTTGTTTTGTCACAACCAACCTAATTCAGTCTGATGTAACCAGTGAAGTGTTTCTTATCTTCTCTTATAGCTAAGAATTACATTTACACCTGCCGTTGAAGTCTTGACTACCTCGCGTCAGGCCTTCTGTCACCAGCGACTACTAGCGTTGTCCAGCACTACTTCCAGAATCTTGAAATTGTTAAAAACATAACATATTTTTTTTGTAACAAACATGAAAGGAAGCAAAAAAATATCGCTCCTAACCAGAACAAAAATGCATTAGGTGGAACCCCGTTATATAGATTTAAGGTTTTTACTTTAAAATGGAGATTGGAAGCTTCTTTTTTGTGATAGATAGCTAAGTTTGATTTAGTAATTATCATATCTTCTTTAATCGAATAGGAGACCTTTTGCTTAATTAATTAGTTAGCATCTTAATGAAGCCATCTAATTAGAATTAGAATAGATTTGATAATTTTAAACATGATATAAAAAAATAAAAAAAAATAATTTAAGTTTTTATAAAAATTTTATATGATTTTGATAAAAATAAAATATATATAATTTATATTTTTGTATTAACATGAATTATAATATAATAATTTTTATATTATTTATATATTTAATACAAGATATCTATAATACAAATATATAAATTATTATGCCTAAAATAAAATTAGAATTAAAAATGATGAGACTCATCCAAAATAAAAGGATTGTGGGCTATAGTTTATTTGTATAACATAATTTATAATTAAACCTTAACCGTGTGGGATCAATTGCAGCATTTTTTAAAATTAAACACAAGCAGTCTTCATCTCAGTGTTTGTCACTTGGCACCGTCTAAAGCATCTCTTACATCCCCTTCAAAATAGAATGAATAATAATAATAATAGCTGTTCACTCCTAATATTTAGCGGTCTTAAAAATCCCACACGCTTCCTCTACCTTCTCTTTTTCCCTTGTTTTTTTTTTTTTTTACTAAATAAATTAATGATTGTGGTTAGAAGATGAAAAAAGCAGAAGCTGAAAGCGAGTTTTGAAAACTGAATATAATAAATATTTTTCATTTTCATTATAATTTTTTTATCAGTATTATTAGTTTATTAGTATGACTTAGAATGTAAAATTGGGTAGTTCATTTGTAAAGCAAGGTTGGCCATATTTCTTAATCACATAATTCCAAAACAGTACTCTTTTCATCAATTTTTTACTGATTCTGTAAAATTATCACATAATTGTGTGTTCCAAACTCTATTGTATTAAACTTTTAATTTAACAATCAAAGTTTGATAACCTCAAATAAAAAATAAAAATTTGTGATTTGGATTGCAAACATGATATTAAATGTATTTAAAAAAAAATTCATCCCAATACTATAAATTTTGACTTAGAAAATGGTATTGGAAAAGATTTTGCTAGTAAAGTTTATACATGATGACTATGATCAATTTTACTGCTGGATAAAGATATTCCAAAGAAAAGCGTAAGAATCTACCATCCACCCATCAAATTTTACCAACATAGGCCAAAATGGCAAAAATAGAATTTCCCATACTTGGCTTTTAGTATGGGGAAGTGAAATGAAAGTTTTTAACTTTCAAAACACAAATTTTTAAGGTGAGTTATTTTTTGTTTCCCAAATACATAAAAAGAGAAAAAAAAATGGATTTAATCAAAGTGTTTTTAGTTGTATATCCTTTTCATTTTCTTTTCTTTCAATATGATATTTATTTGCTTAATTGGATACATGATGCATCGACAACAACTGGTAGATCTAGCATTACCCCACTTAAGAGTGAAAACAAAACCCCCATTTATTTCTTCAAAGACCAAGATTTTGTCCAATCCCCAACCAACAATTAATCCCGTCACTCTCATTCCTCCATAAGATTAAATTAAAAAAAAAAAAACTTTCGCAAAACCTAACCACAGATATTATTTCACACACCAAACACCAATACCATAGGTTTGACTACCATTATCACATTCAAAAGCCACACTTATCATCAAACTCAAAAAAATAATAACAAAACACCACAAATCCAAAAAAAAATCATAAAGAAAAGAGCAACAAATATAAAAAACCATTCACTCAAAAATTAAAAATCTCTGGATTTAATAGCTCAATTTTCATTTTTTTTTCTTTATTGTGGTAATTTTTTGGATCTTTCATGTATATATACACACCGACCCTCTTAAAAAAAGAAAACAATTTTATAATTAAAAAGCCATCTTTTTTTCATTTTTCTTTTTCCTTCAAATTTGACAGCTATAGCTACAAAGCAGTAATTTGAGAATAGTCACCAAAAAATTCAGGGATTCCAGAAGCAGCCCAAAGCCTCTCATTAAATGTGTCTTGCATATCATCAGGAACAAAACTCGTTCTACAAAGTGGACATGTTTGCTGATCATATCCCATCCAACGGTCCAAACAGCTCCGATGGAATATATGCCGACAATTCGTCAACCGCCTGATCTCATCCTCCCCTTCAAAGTCGTACAAACAAACGGCGCAGCTGTCAGGCGGGTCGACAAGGTCGGAGAACTTGACGACGGGTAGGAGTTCCCGAATAAGGAGAGCTGAGACTGGGATGCGGTGGCGAGTGGGAGAAGAGGAGGCGGAGGTGGAGGTGGAAGCTTCGGTATCGGCCGTTTCACGCCAGGGAATGTCCGGTTCGAGGAAATCGGGGAGACCCAGATAGAGAAAAAGGGTGGAAATGAATTTGCGAAGGTAAAAGAGCAGAGAAAGTGCGTGGAGAAGAAGTTTTGGAAGGAGAAGCTCTGAGTAGCCTACTGGGAAACCCATTTTTTCTTTTGTTGAAAAAAAAAAAAGTGAGAGATGAGCTTTGCTTTTTTGCTTTCTGTTTGTTGACAGTTTGGTTTGGTTTTCTATTTATGTTTAACAGAGATAGAAAGACAGAGAGAACCCGGAAGGGACATGGAGTGACTATATAGAGAGTTGCTAGTGAAATTACTATTTTGGATATGCCACCTGATAAGCTTCATTTTATTTATTTATTTTAACAACTAGTCTCATTCTAACAATACTTATAAATATTAATAGACTAATAAAATAAAACTTTCTCTTGTAGGTAAAATAATTATATTTTCATTTTTACTTTTGAATCACTCAATCATTCCACTTAAAAGCTAAAACAAAAAAATAATAATAATTTAAATAAAAAAATATACTTACATAATGTAAAATTAAAAAATTTTAATATATTTTTTAATTATTAATTTTATTATATTTAAAAGATGAAATTAAATCATTTTTAATTTTATTTATCTTTTCATTTATTAGAACTATTAAAATCAATTATTAAAAAAATATATAAATTTTTTTAAATTTATAAACTAATATATTCTTATAATTGAGTTCAATAGCTAATATATATTTCAAGATTATATTAAAAATTTAATCAATTTAAATATAATTCAATTGATTGATGTAATAAATCATTAATAAATTTAAAATTTGCAATTTAATATTTATAATTATTGTTTTATATTTAGTCACAGATATTTTTTTAAAAGAAAATTTCAAAACTTTTTTTTTAAATACTCTCTTTATATGTAGGCCTTTGTATTGAAGGTAAACAACAATGATTAAATAATAGCTAATTATGGGTGAGGTTTTTTATAAGAATAAAAGGAATGATTAATTTCCCAAATGAATAATTGAGAAAAGAGGAGACTGATGATGTTAACAGGGGAAAGACCCATGACCAAGCATGTTAGATGTAACAGCAAATGCAAAATTCAAAAAGATTGAAAAGGCGTTGAAGCAACCACCAAGGCAAGACAAACGTTACGCAGAGGCCTGAGAAGGGGGAATTGGGGACCCCTACCGATGGCTTGTCTCCACTATATCTTTGGTTCATTTCATCGCACCCCAAATTAGCCAATTCAATGCATGCACCTTGTAAAAAGTTTGTGTGGCAGTGAATTTAGTTCATCTCTTTTTTTTTTTTTTTTATAAAATTACATAATATTAAAATGCTAACCGATAATTCCAAACCTATGGAATTAAAAAACGAAAGAGTGAAAATTTAAGAAAATGGTTGAGTGCTTCATAGTCCTAGGAATTTTATACATCTATGCACTTTATTGATATATATATATATATATTTGTAAATTACAATTTACAAATTCAGGCATTCAAATTTTTAATTTTTTTAATAAAAAAACCATAATTTAGAGATAAAAAATTATATTTATTAAAAATAAAAATATAATTTTATTGAATGTTATTTTTAAAAAATAATTACGTAAATCAAACAAAAATTTTTGAACGAAAAAACAACCCAAAAAATTTGTATTCAAAAGAAAAGGGCTTGCATGATCAATAATGACAATGTGCAATTTGTTTGTCAATGTCATCAACTAGGGTCCACGAAAATTAATAAATGAAAAGGTGTGTACCATCAAAGTGTGACAAAGAGTACTATTATGATTAGTCTTTGATAGGGTTGTATAAAAAAATGTTTAATAAAAAAAATCGAATATATTTATAAATTATTTATTTTTAAAATTTAATAAATTATTATAAATATATTTTAAAATTAATTAATTGAATAAATAAATTATGAATATAATAAAAAAAATTTATGTTTGATTCATTTGTAAAAATTAATAAAGCGTTTGTTGAATAATTTATATACATGCTTGTTTTTTATTTATTTGTATTATTTTATTTTGCTTATTGATAACAAATAATATTTTATAATTTGTTAATTAAATGAAGGAATAATGAATATTACAATATTCGTACATATTCAATTTATTTACATCTCTCGCCTTTGAAATTGGGTTAGTAATTAATTGGATCAAATTTCCTTGTTTGATTAATTATCAATGAAGTTCGATTGCCTAACCCTATGGGTGGCATGCAATACATTTCAAAGTTTCTTTAATGGGTAGCACTTAATCCGTGTGTGATTCATTAAAGTTGGCATGCAATATACCAATCAATGTTTTACTGAACTTGAAAGTGTAAGATAATGCAAACGAGCAGAAAAGGGGAAAGAAAAAAAGAGCCATGGTACTGAAATGCCCTATAAATGAAGTGGGGATCATCCCTTTGGGAAGCCCACAAAACAAGCTAGGCAATAAAGAACCCAACAAATCGATGGAAAATAAGAGAGGGGGGGTGGGGAAGCCTTTGGGGCTATGGCTAGTGGGGTTGACATTGGATTTGACACATCATGTGTCATTGTCCCATCTTATTAAATAGGAGCGCCACTAAACACATCAAATGGCCTTATCGAATGATTTGAGACAAAATTTTAAAGTCCATTCCATATCCCTCTCTCTCCCCCAAATCTGAAGATAATGTTTCTTCAATCACTTTAGTCTTGTGATCATAATCACAAGTTAATTAATTTCTTAATGAAGTTAATGTAAGTTAAGATTCTTATATTAATTGAAACCATCCCACATGGTTCATATATTCGCTTATTAAAATCTAATTGTTAATGCATAAAAAAGGATTGGAAATCAAAATAATATCTCTAGAACTTGATTCTCGGATGTTCACTAGAAATCTCTATAATATCTTGTATGTATCTTCATTCTATTAAAAACTTTTTAATTTGGGTTGATTTCGAATATGTGAGAGATTATCTTTAATGTCATGAATTTCTTAACAGAGGACACCTTTTTTTGATTATATATATACAACTTACAACAGCGGGAAGTTTGTGAATTGTGGTTCATCAAATTAACACCATGAAAATGGGGGCCATGATTACTTATAGAATGAGAGGAATCCTGGTTTGCTTAATACTTGGTTGAAGAGAGAGAGAGAGCTAGCGGAGACGGGGCGTGTCAGGTTAACGAGGCGTACTTGACCAAACCAGCCAAGTGATGCGTGGGTTTGCATCGAGAGAGGAGAGGAGAATATGGCTAAATATTTTGTGGATCCATCCAATATGGGTAGAAGGAGCTCATGCCACACCATGCAGCTCCTAGCGGCCTTATTGCCAATCTTACTCTGACAAATGCCCTATACAGCCAAGACAACCATTGGCCCATCCAATAGCTCACCTATATGTGGGGGGCAACCCCACCCACCCGACCGAGAAGAGCTCGATCTCTCCAGTCACCACCACCTTTGTCTCATTCCTTGTCTTTGTGTCCATGCCATGGAGTCCTCAACGGGAATCACAAGAATCTTAATCATATATATGCTTACTTCTCTTTTATATGTCATAACTGGCCTCTTTGTCTGCGGTTCATTATTTATGGCATCTTTTCTTTTATTGCAAAATATCAGCAATTGATGTTTTCTATTGTCTTTTGGAAATGGGTCTTCATCTTTCAAACTTTTGCATTCTCTTTATTTTATTTCCATTTGATTCAATATTCTTTAACTTATAACTACTTTTTTTTTTCTTAACCCACAATCCTTGATCAATATTGATAAAAGCTTGTTAACTTAATAAAGTTTCAGCTAATATTTCCAGCGGCTGCATAAACTGTTGGTAAAATCTTAAACTTTTAATATTAATCATCAGAATTTAAATACCGATAACTCAAACTAAAAAAAAAACTTTCCTTAGCTACTTGAGATACTAGAGTGTGTGAAAACAAAAGAAGAGAGTTTAGTAGTTTTACTAGTAGTTGTTGTCACAAAAAAAAACGACTTTATTGGGTGAAAACCCAAAAGGAAAACAGCCATGTGAATGCAATCTTGAGAGGAAAGCTTTCTGGCATTTGGTCTCATTAGGAACATATTAACAGGTAGGCCAGCTAAATCCAACCAACATCTCTTTTTAACTCTAACTGTACTGCACAAATCTTTAGGCCATAGTTTTGTCCAGTCCTATGTTTTGCAGATGTTTTTATTCTGTTTTCTCCCCATACTTAGACAAAAACCATGATTTTTGTGGGTGATTAGCTCTGAGTTCTGACTCTTACCCATAATTTTATATCTCACTATCAGAAGTTGCCTCATCCCTCCTGCCTGTGATAAGATCGAACTAAGTATCAAAACATGTCTGGAATCCAACTTTGCCTGTCAGAATTTGTCTCTGTTTAAAATAAAAAAAATGAGATTATAAAATTAGAAAAAAAGGAGTCTTATTTGGGTGAATATTTAACCAGACAATTAACAGCAACTTGCATTGTAAAGACAATGCAGAGAAGGGTTTTTCTGGGTCATGCTTAATTCGACATGTGAGAGCCTGTTGATCATTACCGAAATGGACTGACGAGGACCACGTGGCTTCTTTTCAATATGTCGTTTTCCCTTTGTTTTGGGAAATTAAACGATATTAATCATCTTTTCTTGCACAGTATATATGTATATGGGCCATGCTACGTGCCTGAGGAGTTCCTTCCACCATATATGCATTCACATTCCCATCCATAATCCATTACATTTTTCACGCTTATATAGTTAATATTATTGCATATCCAAAAAGAACAAGTCTTTTAAAATTTTCAACTTTTAGAATTCGAGATTTTTTTTTATATTTAAAAGTGCACATCCAGTCAAGTCATGAGGACTTGAGAATGAGTATTTATGTATAAACATCATTAATGTACGTACATTCTAATTGACTAGAAAACTATGAAGAAAGAGAGACATGCTTCAATGGTGAATCTTTTTAGCACTCATGACAAAAGGGAATTGCAGAGCTAGAGATGAGCTAGCATAGGAACCCTTTTAAACAAGTAGCCAAAGTATTAAAAAGATCAGTATAGTAGGAATTGCAAAGGATTAAGCCCTGCAAATCAAAGAATTAAAAAGAAAATAATGAACAGCTAATGACATGAATAACTGCAAATAAAGAAGAGTCTGACCGTTCCCCATCCCTTCTCTCCCCCCCCCCCCCCCAAAAAAAAAAAAATGTTCTTGATGAGAGAATGGAATAATAACGTGGTT